CTGCACTGGGAGAGCCAAGTCTATGTGTACCTAACCAGCAAGTTCATAGATGGAAGCTGGCTAAGACAGGGGCCCTAGAGATTTCTGAGCCGCCTGAGAAATTGGGGGTACTCAGGGACTGAGTAAGTGCAGAGCAGAGACCAGAATGCAGGTCTCAGAATTCAGCTTCTGGGTCAGCCAGGGCAGCCTGAAGGAGCCCTCCTAGGCAGAAGAGGAAAAGGCCATCAGGATGCTACGGGCATCTAGACCTCAGGGGTCTGCCCTTAAAAGGGTTCAGTCCTGGCCAGCTATTCGGGCATCAGACCCTGGCTAATTTCTCTCTAGACTTCAGGCAGGGAAGTGGTGACGAGGCAGTTGCTGGTCCTAGGTTGAGGATTCTTCTTAGCTCTCGAAGTAATGTTCACCTAGGACCTGACAGTGACTTTTTTTTTTTTAATACGTTTTAATTTGAGAGAGAGAGGGAGAGAGAGAAGCATTGATGAGAGAAACACCAGTGAGAGGCTGCCTCCTCCACGCCCCTCACTGGGGATTGAGCCCTCAACCTGGGCATGTGCCCTGACCAGGAATTGAACCCAAGACCTCTCGGGGCATGGGACCATGCTCAACCAGCTGAGTCACACTAGCCAGGACCTGACAATGACTCTTTACAGCTGAGTCCTGCTTTATACCCTCAGTTGATTACTCCTAATATCCCCATGCTTACTGATGAGGAGACACTATGAGAGAGAGGAGGAGGAGCAGGCAAGAGTCCAGGCCTTTGAGCATGGGGTTGTATGCCTCCTGTCTAGTCACAGCTGTCCCTCAGGTGACTGACCAGGAACTTGGGAGTGAGAAGAGGAAGTTGGGGCCAAGCCCCACTTGCCACACGCCTCAGGCAGGCAGATGGCTGAGTGGTTGACAAAGGGTTGTTTCCTGACAACTTGGACAGAAGATGTAGGTGGAGGGGAAGTGGGTCACTTGGCCACTTAAATTGAGCAGGGTTTGCCTAGAACTCCTCCTCCAGAGAGGAAGGGTTGACCTCAGCCCTGCCTCCTACACATTCATGGACTTAAATAGTTATTGAGGGTCGAGCCAGGCACCATGGGAACAGGGATGCCCTGGTTGGGGATACAGACCATAAACAAATACAGATGGGGCAAAAGTAGTTCTATGGTTTGTGAGTATGTGGGACACAGTTTATTATTGTATTATTATTGGTTACTATTTTCCGTGCAAACAACTGTAAATCTACTTTTGCTCCACCCTGTATATAAGTGTGACAATCTCATTCAGTGACAAGTTCTAAGAAGATAATACAGGGTGATGAAATGAGTACCAGAGCACCTATTTTAGACCGAGTGGTCAGGGAAGGTGTCTATAAAGAAGTGACATTTGAGTTGACACACAGGTGACAAGGAGCCAGGCACATGAAGATTTAGGGAGGAAGAAGAGTGATCCAGGTAGAAGGATCAACAGTTACAAAGCCCTAGGGTGAGAACAGGCTCAGCATGTTCGAGAAACAAGAAAATGCCAAGTGGCTATAAAGGGTGGGGTTGGGGGTTGGGAAAGTCGGTGGCAGGAGACAAGGTTGGAGAACTGGGAGGGCAGGTCACCCAAGGCCTTAGAGACAGGATAAGTGATTCAGGCTTTGTCAGTGGAGAATGGGAAGGGAAATCTTTAGAGGGCCATAGGACAAGATACACAGCACCCCTCACCATGAGATCAGGGGGGCAGTTTGTTTCTGAAGAATAGGCACCCTGCAGTGTCTTTCTGTCTGGTGGCAGTACACTTCATTTCCCCTCTCCCCCTAAAATGCAAGCCTATGCTCTGGGCCCTAAAGGTATAAGCCGCGGTTGGCTGTCAGTCCCACTTGTTGAAGGAGTCCTACCCAGCCTGTGTGCTTCAGAGCTGTTTGGCAGAAAGTAGGTGGGAGGATCTCGATTTCAAGGACCCCACTATGAGCTCAGCACATCTGACATTCTTTGCAGGCCTCGGTGATGGGCCTTCAGACATCTGAGCATCTTTCTGTGTATCAGTCTGAAGTTAGTGATGTCCTCTTTCCCATCACTCTCCTGCCCCTGGTTCAGCTAGGCCAGGGTCTCTCTGCTTTGCTGGGATGGTAGAACAGGTTTATGACTTTGAAGGTTTGGGAAAACTGACATCATCCCCCATGAAAACACCTATTGTTTAGTGTGGAAATCTCCCTGATGCCTTTGTTTGGAGGCAGAAGTCCTGGTTCAGGCCTGTTTTCCCCCTGAATGAGAAAGCCAAGGTCAGAGATCAGGGCTTCAGTCCTATGTGCTATTCATTTTTATCTTCAGACCAATTGTGGCTGGGAGTCCTGGCTCTGGAGTCCACTGGTTCCATCCAGTTCTACCATCTATAAGGTTAGTGACCTTGAGCAAGCTGAAGTTAGCTAATCTCACTGAGCCTCATTTTGCTCATCTCTAACATGGGTGCTGACTCAGAGTGTTAGGGATAAATGCATGTAAAGCCCTAAGCATATTTCTATACCTAATACCCATTTAGTGAAAATGAGATGTTATCAGCTGGACACAGCTATTTCAAGTTTCGTCCCTGGAAACTGACCCAGAATTTGATAATAGAAATGGAATTTTTTGTTGCCTAAAGGGATCGCCTGGGCCAGTGGTTTTAATCTGGGGTCTATGACTGAACATCAGGGAGTGTAAACAACCTGAAATTATTCACAAGGCTGAGGCATCCTGCTGCTGTGCAAATTTATTGGGAGAGTGCCTTTGAGACATTCTTAGAGGGTCTTTGCACCCACGGAGACCTAAGGGTCAGTGAAGACTGATGCTCAGTGGGCGAGAGGTCATTGAGGTCATTTCTGGTCCTTGAGGAGCCTGGCCTCAGTCAGCCTGTGGACTTTTTGGGTGAAGCAGGAGATGGAGTGGTCAGCAGCCCTCTTGGAAGAGCTGTAGGAGAAGCCATCGTGAAGGTCAGTCCCCAATCTGATGTGAGGCTTCCTCTGAGCCTTGGCATTTTATTTCTTTCCAGGCTGTTCTTTCTACAATAACTATTAGAAACAAGGTTAGGGCTTGCTGACCATCCTGGGGAATAACCCCTCAGCCTGGCCCAGACCCCTTCCCACTGTTGCATGGGGATAAGAGGGGGCTCTGCACCCAGCTTCCTTTTCTGGACTTAGGAATGCTGCCTCCCGGCCTTGAATTGAAAACTTGGTGGAAGATTTAGGATCAGAAACTATATAAGTCCTGTAGTTTGCTGGGCCATGCTCTGTGGTGGAAGATTGGGGGTGTCGCAAGAACCCTCACAGCCCAGAGCTACAGTATTTAGGTGGAGTGGACCTTGAGTATGTTGATATGGGTTTGCCCATGGAGTTGGAGTTCAGCATTTGAGTCTGGGAAGGAGTCTTCCCTAAATATGTGGGAATCTGAACAGTAACTTGAAGGAAGAACAGGGACTGACCAGGCAGTGAGGGGAGGGAAGACAACACGATGGGCAAGCACTTGGTGAGCTCTGGTGTATTTGTGTAGAGCTGGATTGAGGTGGGAAAGAATGGCTGGAGAGTCAGGGACCTGTATGGATGGCCACCTGTGGAGTTTGGGGGTTTGGCCTTTAACCCAAAGGCGAGGGTGGTGCTATAGGGGAGGCACATGGCCAGCTTTGTGGTTTAGAGCTCAGGGATACAAAGGTAGCAGAAAGAAACCACTGGCCTCAACCAGAGGACCCAGTGTCATCACTGATGTACTGAATGAACTTGGAGCAAGACTCCACACATCGCTGAACCTGTTTTCCCACCTGTTAAGCGGGTTGACAGTGGACTCTGACCACATGGCTATTGTGATCATTACATGAAAACAAATCAAGGTCAAGCAGACCTCCAACATTGGTATTGGCTTCAGGAACCCTGCTTGGCACTGTAAAAGCAAAGGCCTTGATCCACATAGTTCCAAAGGTTTCTTCTCCCACTTTCTGGAAGACCCTGAGCTGTCCTTTTCCTCAGGAGAGGTCCCTCTGTCCTGTCTTGCCCCACCAGACCAAAGAGCTCTTCCGTCCCTTTATCTCTCCACCCTCTTCACTCTATCACTACTTCTGCCAAGTAGTTTTTGTATTACCAAGTTGTCACGTCATTAAGAACAATATTGAAAAAGGAAAAAACACCCACACGCTTCCTTTGCACTTGTCTTTGGATCGGCTGCTAACCTTAGTTCCTCTTACCCTCCATCTCCCGCTTCCCAGTTTCTTGCCCTTATCTCTTTTCCTTCCCCCAGATACTTGCTTATGCTGTTTCTTCTGATTAGCATACTCATTCTCCAAGGTCTTACCTGAGGGTTGCCCAGCCTTGCTGAGGGCAGGAGAGATGGCCCTCATCCATTCCTTCAGCTATCCCCCTGCCCCAGAGCTCTCAGGGACTGGGCAAGGCATCTTGTGGGTAAGATACAGTGGGGTCAGGCTGCAGTGAGTGAGCTAAGCATAGTGAATACTAGGGTAGAAGGGGCAGAGATATGAGGGGCTGTGCCCTGCCTCAAGTAATCCAAGTTTATGTGTGGGTACCCCTTAGAAATGTGACCCAGACAACACAGCTGAGACTAGCTATTGGCCCTGTGCCTTTCCCACTTGTTGATTTGTTTCTTGGCAGAGTGTGAACTGGGACATACCTTGTGTTCCTGTGTAACAGGCGTGGCCCGGTATAAGTTCTCTCCCCTGCTTATTTTAGACTTTCCTGGACATTTCTTAGTCATCCCAGCACTGAGCTGCTATTTTTAGCGCTACCACCTCCTAGGGGACCTAAAATAAAGCTGGCTCAGCTTCCTGGCCCTTCATTGGCTGGAGTGTTGGTCACCAGAGTGTTGGCTAGATTGAAGATAAGCTACTGTCCCCCTACACTATCCCTCCCCACTGGCTCCTTTGGCCTTGAGTGAGGTCACAGGGACTAGCACTTACCATGTTGAGCTGAGGGCTTGGCCAGGTTCGCTTAGCAAGGCTTCACAACCACTGGGTTCCATCTGCATTTTAAGGAGGAGGAGGCGCCTGAGGCCTTAGGAAAGGTAGTGACTTGCATCAACTCCTGCCACTGTTAATGATTGTCTGCCAAGGTTGAACCCACCTTCTCACTGCTTTGGTTCAGAGTCCTGTTATCAGGAGAGGGGGGCTGGGCTCCTCCAAAGCGAGACAACTGCGGAACAACACATGGGTCTACTGTCATAGGATACTGCAGTGAGATGTGGACTTCCTTACTCTGGGGGGCCTAACAAAACCAGAGTGAATCTCTCATTTAACACCCTTGAGGTTGTGGTGTCTATAGCTAGGAGTGCACTTCCCTTTTGCCTCAGAAATTAGAGAGGGTCAGCCATTCCCAACAGAGGGAGTGCTAAGGGATAGGAGATTTGAGGTGATGAAATGTTTTCCCCTCATAGCCTCCATTTCCCCTCCCCACATCCCTCATCTATTACTTTGTGATCCTCTGAACTTGTACTAGCTCTGAAGTGGGTAGAGGTCACCCCCATCAATGAAGAAATGTCCCAGAAAGGACTAGGCATTACCTGGCCTCAAATATGTAAACTGCTCCCTTAAGACTAAGGGGAATCATTTGCTGTTTTTGTGGCAAATGGGGCCTAGAAGAGACTCCCCATCTTCCTCCATCTGCCAGTAAAGCACTGGGGCAGTGTTGAGGCACTGAGGGCTGAGTTTCAGCAGGACGAGGGAGCCTGAGTACTGTACCGGAAGACACTTTGCACACAGACATCAGTAGTTGCTGGCCTGCAAGGTGGGTAGAATAGCAATAACTCTTGCTTTGCAGGTTGTTGAGAGGATTAAATGAAAAGCTATTAGGAGTGCTTAGCTCCTCCTTAAAGGTCCATCCCCTCATTGGGCACTGAAGGACCTGCTCTGACCTTCCTTTGTCCTGGCTCCACCCTTAGTACCCATCCTGTGTGCTCCATGACCCTGGCACCTCTCTGTTTCATCAACCAGAGCTCCTTAAAAGAGGAGCTGAGTCTGGTCCACCTCTCAGCTCCCTCCACTGGCCTGTATTGGGAGAAATCTCCTACTAGTTCCCTGGGGTCTCTCCATTTTCCCTATGTGAATAGACCTCAGCAAAGGAGGCCAGGGAGGGGTGGAGGTCAGTGAAGAGACAGCAGTTGACTACATCCTGGTCTGGCAGTACCAATGCTTCCCTCCCTGTCTTGCTGGTCTTGCAGGTCTCAACAAGGCTGGGTGACGCTCCAGAATGGGAGACAAGCCAATTTGGGAGCAGATTGGATCCAGCTTCATTCAGCATTACTACCAGTTATTTGATAATGACAGAACCCAACTAGGCGCAATTTACGTAAGTCTCCAGCTCTAGGACCTGAATGAGACACCAGGGGATTAGTTCCGGTGTTGGGCCGCTTCATCCAGTTCTCTAGTTCTGGCAGCCCTCACTAGATTTGGCTGCACCCTTCTATCTGAGCTGCCCATGGGATAGGGGGCCTGAGGTCTGGTCCAACTTCCTGGTTTACACATTCCCTTCTGTCATGTTCCACAAGAGTAGGGATTCTGGTACCCTGGGCAGGGTGTTCTGGACTGGCCATCCATGGTTCTGGAAGTGCCAGTGTTCTAGATCAGGTGGCAGCAGGCAGAGGCTAGGGCTCACGGCGTTCTCTGGAGGCAGCAGCCATGAGCATCATCAGTGCAAAGCTGAGCTCTCCTGGAGGCCCCAGATCTGGCTTCCTTTTGGAGGCCAAAAGCCCCTGAATGCTCCTGGGAAACAAATGGGGTTAGCCCAGAGAGACTAGTATGTCCTTTGAGAAACCCTTCTGTGCAGGCATTGTTCGGTGCTATTTTAGTGGTGTTCATATATACCAAGAGCTACCTGTATTTGACTCTCTCCAAGACTTGGTCAAAGAAACATGATTGATCAGACCATGCCTAGCTGGTCTGCCCAGGTTAAGAGTGATAGTAGTCATCCAGCATAGCTTCAGAGCCTGACTGGACTGTGGCAAACTCCTCTGTGTCTCCCTCCAAAAAGTCAGGGTTCATTCAGATGTTTTGGGGAAAAGAAAGGGGTCTTACCAGTGGAGGGCCAAATCTAGTGCAAGTATTATTTGATTGTCATTATCATAGATCAAGAATTTAAATTAAAAACTTGAACTGGTTTGACTGTGGGATCCTGCCACTTTTGCCTTCTTGCGTCTTTATGTGTGGGTATTTAATTATTTATTTAAGTAATCTTTATTGATTTTAGAGAGAGAGGAGAAAGGGGAGAGAAAGAGAAACATTGATTTGTTGTTCTACTTATTTATGCACTCATTGGTTGATTCTTGAATGTGCTTTGACCAGAGATGGAACTCGCAACCTTGACATATCGGGACGACACTCTAACTAAATGAGCTACCTGGTCAGGACACCTTGTTGCTTCTTAACATCAGTTAAAGTAGGCCTGCCCAGCCGACGTGGCTCAGCACTTGAGCATCAACCTATGATCCAGGAGATCAAGGTTCGATTCCCGGTCAGAGCACATGCCCGGGTTGTGGGCTTGATCCCGGGCAGGGG